TTGTTTGAGTTTTTTATGACTAGAACTAGCTACCAATTTTATCTTGAGGCACACTTCTGAGTTTCAGAAGTCTTTTGTTGAGTGTGCTGCCTTAGCCTCAGACCCTCCAGGCAAAGGACAACTTCCCTATAAAAGCGAGCACTCCGACTCAGACTTCTCTCAAAAAACAGCTTCTAATCAGGACTTTAAAAGACAAAGGATCACAGAAACCCAGACTGCTCCGTCTCTTGGTCTTCCACGTAATCCCAGCCAGTTTGCCAACCCACCATGGTCTCACGCTTTTCTTGTACCAGTGCGATTCCTTTGACCACGCACTTTGTTTTTTGAGTTCACTTAAGGTAATGGAAATAGACTCCAAAAACCTGGTACATAACTCATTGGTTTCTGCTAGCTTACTGAACTGAAATGGCTCCGTATGCGGTCAAAACCCAGTGAATGCCAGCACAAGTAAGTACTCATAGCTGAGGACAAAAGGGTGACAGGAGTGCAAAGTTTTATAGCTTTATGCCAATACATAAGCAGCCTCAGATACATAGTTTTGTTCTTTCAAAATAGCACTTTGGGTTTAAATTTAAGATGAAAACATGTTTTTGTATCCAGCATCAGCCTACAGAATAAATGATCAGAAGAGAGGAAAATAATTTTTGCAGTGAAAGATTGAAGTTGCTTCTTTGATTTAGTTAATGAGTAAGTTTGGTTCTGCTTGGTCCATGCATGTTTAAGGTGGGACACTAGCTTGGACAAAATTCTTTTCCAGCTTGTTTGGATACTGACTGCTACAAGCACAGTTGAAATCAGTAGTCAGAAATAAACTATATTCCACCAACTTTTTTCAATTTAAAATCAGTTTTAAAATCAGTTAAGCCTGTAATTCCAATGAAACACATAAGGTCAATACACTACTGTTTTTTTTAAGACATTAACTTCAGTCACTCTTTGGTTCAGTGTTGTAAGCCATACGTTGAAATTCAGTTTATCTCTGTAATTCTGAACCATACTTAGCGGAACAGAGATATCCACTGCATAAGCCACATTTCATGTGTTATCATTGCTCTACATCAAATAAAAATATTAATATAAATATTTTTGCATATATTTTTAAGTTGCAGTCCAGCCTACCTACATTAAAAAAAGTCTTTTTACATTCAGAACTGAAGCATTTTCTCTTACCTTTATCTCAGTTCACAACTCCAGGCACGTTTTTACACAATGTTAAAGGGTCTTTAAACAAGGAATTGCAGAAATTCAACATCTCATTACTCGAGATACTTGCTTCAAACAATTAAAAATAGTATCTGACTCGGAATAATACGCATCAGGTAAGTTTATGCGGCTGAGACCAAGGAGGTCACAAAAATGCAGGAGGTCCAAGGTACTACAGATACTTTATAGCATTCTAATTTTCTTCCCCAACAAATCACAAAACATTGAGGTTGAAAAGGGAAGATCCATAAGCAATCAGCAGAACAAACTAGCAACAGATTTAAAGTTTTTCTCTTCAGACACCCACACACATGCAAAGTGTTTATGTTATGCCCTAGAGATTATAAACATCCAGTTGCAGCAATCTGAAAACAGTACACAGAATGGGAAGTCAGAAGAAAAAACACACAAACACAATGCATGTGAAATTTGACTTTTATTTTTCTGTTGATAAAACCCAAAGATCCCTCACAGCAGCAACAGATGCAGAAGTTATCTGCAGAAATGATACCTCTTCTTAATCTGTTTGCATATCCAAGTATGCCAAGTGTGTAGGGACTGCATATTAACACAGTACAGGCACTGCTCAGTAGTAACAGAGACCAAGTTCCTTGGCATATTTTAATCCATCCTTTCCTTAATATTATAGGGTTTTCATAGTATTAAAGATGACTGTTAATAAGTTGCCTGTTTATTGGATTTTTTTGTTGTTGCAATTTAAAAACTTTTTATTAAATTCTACACGTACAATTTACATGCCCAGATACACCTCCCCACATTCTGTAGTAGTTGACAAATCGTATCCAAATGCTAGAGTTCAGAAAGAAAACGCTACTGCATTTAGCAGCTCTAGCTGCACTAGAGTAAATATTTCCGTAGAGTAACAAAACACACCTCTTTGTTCAGTATCACTAGGGATACAGGTTTTAAAATGCACATTGCTATCATGTATCCATACCTTTCTTTAATATATATATATTTATATATAGCTCTAAACCAAAGCTCTACTATTTTACAATTAAATTAAACACATCCACAATTGGTTTAACTAGTGATTTTGGTCTCAATACTTTAAACATTAGTTGTTCCATAAAAATATACAATTCAGCAACATGGTTGTATCAGTAACATGAGGCCTTTTGAAAGAGGCCTGTGACAGGTACCAACCACGCAATTCAGTGCTCAATGCCATCTAACCGATAAATATTTATACTGCATTTTCAAATTATCAGCATCTTTAAAATCCAAATTTCTCTTTGCAGGCTTACCATGCTTACAAACATGCAGAAAGCAACCACATTTCCCACTTGCCTGTAGCAAACACATTTTTTTCTTTTCCAATCAACTGACAAAGCACAAACTTCATGCTGTCATTTTTAGATCGCTAACCCTTTCCTTTCTTTCACCAACCAAATTATTTTAGAATGGATCACAGCGCTCCATGTGAAAAGACTAGGGATTAGCCACACAGTAAGAACTGCACTTTTCAGTTTAAGCCTCTGAGAATCAAACTACTAACAGTCAATTAGGATGCACTCATAGCTGCCATACAAGTGAACAGACAACCAACAGACAATCAAGTTAATTCTAGATATATATCAAAAGGTGAAGTTTTTTAAAACAAACAAAAAACCCCCCTAATAACCCAAAACCTAAACTACACAAGTACAGCCTCAGTCCTGGGAGATTCCAAGAAGCAGACCTCTGTCCAGAAAAAGCTCCTTCAAAAGGGCACACAAAAACTGTGCCACCATCAGCCACGCTTCAGATAAGATATTAATCATTTATAGTTAGGTATTCCCTTATTACCACATAAAAGTTCAATAGCAATGGTGATGTAGTACTTCTGTAGTACAAACAAGAACCCTCCAAGTCAGAAGCAGTCAGTACTAAAACCCCAGACTAGTTCACATGTTAGGGTAACCTGGCATATAAGCCTCAGAACACTTACTTTTATAAATGTAATAATTAATAATTTAGGTACTAACTATTCCAAGACCAATACAGTCAGTCTGCGGATAAGACTACGATAGAACATGCTAAAAACACAAGAGAGGTATGACAATTAAGATGAATATTTCTTTTAAACAGCAGGAAGTCAGGGAAACATCTGGAATTCTTTTGCACTGCATTAATATATATTCTGTTTCTGAATATAAAAATACATCTAGAGAGTCAATCCAGAACTGCATACACAATTACATTTTTCCCCTAACTGCTTTAAAATTAGTACAAAATAATATAAGTTACAGGAATGATTGTTGCAAATTTGCAAATGTGAGCTATTATAAAATCATCATATGAGAACAGCAGCTGTAAATTATTTACAGGCGAGGTAATACAATTTCCAGAGTAACGAATTACAATTTAGCAGAGTGTAAAAATAATGTACTCACCAAAACATTACAAAATCTGGTATCATTATCTGCTACACAGTAGATCGTGATTAGGTTTTGTAGTTGATACACAACATATTCTTAAGAAAGTGCCAAAATACTGCTACATAAGAATCTTTTTTTCCAAAATCATTCAGAAAAAAAACCCTGCAGACTCTATGTTAATGCCAAAAGAAAACAGGAAAAAAGGAATGCCAATTGTCTAGGTATGTCTTATTAAATGCTTTTGAAAAATCTGTAAATTCACTTTCATGCTTAAAGGTCTGACACGAAAGAGACTTATTTAAAAAAAAAAAAGAAATATCAACATCAGGGTATCTTAGGCCATTTTAAAACTACACATTCCTCTGAAACTATGAAACACATGGAGACTGAAAACATTCTAAAAATGGCTGAATTGCCGAGGGCTGCTGTGATCAGTGGCACAAAGTCCTGCTGGATGCCAGTCACTACCGATGCACCTCCCCCAGGGGTCTGTACCAGGGTCCGTACTGTTTAACATTTTCATTACCACCAGGGGACAGAGCACACTCTCAGCAAGCCATTTAAAGAGATCTGGGCAGGCTGGAGAAACAGCCAAACAAGAATCTCATGAAGTTCAGCAAAGGAAAGTGCAAAGTCCTACTCCCAGGGAGGAACAACCCCATGCACCAGTACAGGCTGGAGGGCTGACCAGCTGCAAAGTACCTTGCAGAGAACGATGCCAAGCTGACTGTGAGCGACCCTGTTGCAAAGCAGCCCCGCAGACTCTTGGTCTGCATTAGGAAGAACATTGCCAGTAAGTTGAGGGAGGTGATTCTTCCCCTCTGGTCAGCCCTGGAGAGACACAACTCAAGTGAAGAGTCCAGTTCTGGAGTCCCCAGTTCAATACAGACATGGACATACAAAAGCAAGTCCAGAGAAGGGCCACAAAGGTGTTTCAGCGATTGGAGCCTCTGACAGACAAGGAGAAGCTGAAAGAACTGGGATTGTCTAGCCTGAAGAAGGGAGGGCTCAAAGGTGATCTTACCAATGTGTATAAACACCTGATAGGCAGGAGTAAAAAAAGAGAGCCAGACTCTTTGCAGTAGCATCCAGTGACTGGACAAGAGGCAATGGGCACAAACAGAAATACAGGAAGCTCCATTTAAACATAAGAATGACGTATGTAGTGTGAGGGAGATCAAAATGCTAGAACAGGTTGCCCAGAGATCTTCTGGAGTCTCCATCCTTGGAGATTATCTTAAAGATCCAGCTTGTCACAGTCCTGAGCAACCTGCTTTAGCTAACCCTCCTCTGAGCAGGGGGGTTGTACTAGATGATCTCCAGGAGTCCCTCCAACCTTATTCATTCTGTGATTCTATGAAAAGGACAGGGTCTTTTGTAGCCTAGGCATTGGACCAACTGAGTCACAAAGCAAACTATAAAATGTAAATAGAATATATTTTAAGTTATTGCATACAATGTTAATTTTGCTGCCTGCGTTTTGCCGATCTCATTTTTTCAAATCTTGACTCCATTTCTTCCAGGACTTTTGGTGTGTATCGCACAACTAATTTAACCTTTCCTTGAGCTGCCTTCAGCAGTTCTACTGCTTTTTCATGGTGTTCACCTTCGACACTCTGCAAAGCATAAACCATTAAGAACAGCATTAGTAAAGACACACACTGAAAACAGATTATTTTTTCTTTTTTTTCATACAACTTCTACACAATCAAGTATTGAAGTATTCTAGTTTGAAGACTGCACAAGGACAATGTCACCCAAGTTTAGGATTTATTCTTCAGCAAATCAATAAGAGGTGATGATAAATATACTAATCAGTATTAACAAAAGAGTAACAAAACTTTTGGTTAGGTTTATGCTGAACAATTAAATCCTCTATTTACATACAATAATTCTCTATTTACATTAGGCAATTATGAAATCACGCTTAAAAATCAACAATTTCAGGAGGACACTTAATTCAAAATTGTTTATCTTCTTTCAGCATGCATTTTAAATTCAGTAGTCATCCTTAATTTGCCTAATAAGTTGACACAGATGACTGCAAGATAGCTGCCTTCTTGATAGCCGGTGCTAGGACAAGGCAAAACAGTGCATACTGGGCACCTGCAATAGAGCAGTTAACGTGCAGCGTGTTGCTAATCTTAGTGCTCCACATGTCTCTCAGTAAATGCAAGATTTTCAAGTTAATTTCCTCTAAACTGATTAAGAACAGCCAAACCCAACTCAGTAAGAACCGAATAAAAATACTTTCCTAAAACAACTCTCAGAATTTTATTAGGGCTACATTAGATTAATCTAATTACAAACTTTAAGCAACAACTCTCAACAACTACATCCACATATACATTCCTGGACAGCATATATTTTATCAGCAAAACTTATTTCTCCCAAACTTATTAAACACAATGATAGGACTACCCCAAGCCTACCTCCCACTGGTGCTATTAGAAGCTAGAAGGCAGGTGATGTACCTGTTGATTGGAGGGTTTCCCCGTTACTATAAAGTTACTTACAGAAAGAAAGACAACAGTTAAAAAAACCCAAGTTATTTCTCTTCTGTCAGACTTAGACAACACATATATTTGAATGTTTTCATTTGTGTTATTCAAGTGGATGTGTAAGCTGTTCTGTTTAAAACTGGTAATAAAAGTTTTGTAAAGCTCTATGTTTAAGTATAGTAAAACACCCAATATTCTGAAGTACACTGAAAATCTCTCAGTTAAAAAAAAACCCCATGTTTTAAGGCACATTCACTGCAGTCTGGGCAGTGTCAATTTTTTTTAAGTATTAAATTAGAAATTACAATAAGAAGACAATGCCTATCATATGTATTAAAGTGACAGGATTCCATCTGGAAACAGAAGAGGAAGATTGTTCTTCTGAGACCACATTAGTATTCTCAACAGCATTTTATGCACTCACTTGCTGTATTCTTACAACGATTATATATACTTACACATGTGCACGCACACACAGGCAGTCATTGTTAGCTGTACCAACTGACTGATAATCGGTTTTGGGTGGAGCAGTGGTTTTGTTTTCTTTAAGAGGGTCTGCGAGTGAGGAAGGCCTCATCTGAAGAGTTCTACACCTGTCCCTCAATGCTTCAAAATAACAGGAAGGCCAGGCCAAGGTCAGTTGCATTACTACGGCCACAATTTCTCTGGTATCTCCTGAAAAGGACAGCTGGACTCCCAGGTAATAGTCAGGAACCAAGTATGTCAGAGATCTGTGCTAGCAGGGACTTCCCATACTACAGACACCCAGTAAGTCTCTATTCCTTTCCTGTGTCAAAAAACCTCACTGGGGTTAAAGAGCACAGGACTTAGTTCAACCCTCAGTCTTAAAATAAAATAGAGTTTGCAGATGTAATGACGGAAACATTAATTTTAAGCTAGCATACAGCTTCTCTGTAAATAAAAGCAAGAGTTTGAGGGATATTCACATGCATTTGACTAGCAGCTGCCTTAACTCAAAGCCTGTCCACAGCCACCTCTTTCCAGTCACCCTGTGTTTGGCTTTTGTCTTGTAACTCTTCAGAAGAGGACATTTACAAAAATAAGTATCCACAACAGCACTTCAGACATATACTCCTTAAAATATGCTAGAAAGCCTCTGTTTTTCAAGCTCAGTACACTTAAGTGAAGAAAAAAAAAAATAATCACACAACTGACGATAATACCACCTTGTAGTTCCATCTTATTACACCTTTCATTATGCAGTAGTGTTTTTATCGGGATAATGAGAATCTGGTCAGTCTAAAGCAACATAGCGTAACTTACTACTTACCTTAGAAGGTGCAGAAAACTACATTAATTAAAACCTGCATCATGAAACTTGGATGAAAGAGGAAGCCATAACGGCAGTTACTATTTCAGAAAACAACACTTTGGCTAGATTTACAGAGCTCCTCGGAATCTGAAATACTGACATAAATAGCACAGTTTTCCAGTTGAGATAGATAACCAAAGTATAATCCTAGAACTCTCAATGCACACAACTCTACAGAAACCTGACCAAGTTGTTCTTGCAAGGACAAAAAGAAGCTATTTTGCCGAGATTAAAAGACGACACCGAGCTCGTGCCATGTATGTTCTCTGTACGCCCCCACGTGGAAACAAGGAGTTACTGCTACGTAAAGTGAAAACCAATTCCTACCACTCCGTTTACAGAAAGCAGCTGATCTCCACGTTTCAGGCCTCCATGTCTGTCAGCTATACCGCCAGGGATAATTCGAGAGATATAGATTGGAGAATTTTGTTCTTTGCCTCCCATAATGTTGAATCCAAGACCTTCTTCGGTTTTGGGTAGTTCAACCACCCTGGGATGGGAATGACCTTCGCTAGCAGCAAATGCAGCTACAGTGGCCTGTAAGAAACAAGATTTTCCCATTTATAAGAAATTAAATACAGACTCCTTAGCTAGACACAGCGAGCAGGCTGAAAATGTATTTTTATCTCAAAGTACTTAAATATTAAGACAAATGAGATTAAGTCCCTAGATACCAACACTAGCATGAAAAATTCAGAACTCCAAGAATAAAATTAAAACGGAAGAAATTTAAAAATATTAAGTCTTTTGTTATATCTTTTAATAACCTGTGAAGCTTATCCATTTTATCAGGCATCTAGATAATATCCTCCTGAATTTTAAATAATCTTCTTCTGCTTCTAAAGTAGCAAACTACTGTATTTTACACAAGTTATAATTTGGCTTTTACCTTTGCTGTTGCATTAGCTCTAACTTCTGGGCTACTGCTGATATCCACAGTTTCGTACACGTGTTCATACACCTTTAGAGACAAAACAGTTTAAGTCTGGAGAAAACAGGTATTTTTCTGCTTAGATAAGACATCAAAATATCAGGTAGAACTCAAAAATGCATACATTAGAAAGTATACACTTCCAATGAGAAGTTACTCCCCGATTCACTACAAGGTTGTCAAGTGACAATCTACCATACTATGAAGAAACAACTCAGCATCTTTATTGCTCAGTTAATCCATTCATATCTAGGTCTTAACCCAAATCTTCCCTCCTTCCACAACATTCAAGACCTCACCATGAATTCAAAAATGCTTAATAGCTAGTCTAACACACTTGACTGGAGACACAGACGACTACCTTCTCTTGTTTGATTCAAGCTGCAACTCTTCAATAAGGATGCATGCAACATCACTTAAGGACAGCTCTTCAAAGCCCTCCCAACAACTCAGCCCTCCCCCTAAACCCTCCTATTTTCCTTCAATTGATGCAACCGACTGAGTATCTTAAGAAAAAACGGTATTGAAAACACAGAGGCACTAAGAATACTAATGCTATGGAGATGCTCGCACTGAGAGCTAACCCACGTCCTCACATCTACCTGCCAATCATTTGGACTTGCTAAGCAATAAACACACTGTCCTCAATAGGATGAAAACATTAAGATGACACCTGTGGTCTACAAACAGATCTTGCAAAGCATTCCAGGTGTTACCGTCAGTGGTAGCACCAACAGCAATAGCAGGGCATTTTCAATCACCCCAAAATCTCCAAAAGAGCATCTGGAACGAAGATGAGGTTGTACAAGCTTCCATCTCAAGGTCATGCTCAAGGTGATATGGATTTAGCTTAAAAGAAACAGAGGCAATTGGTACTTTGTCCATTCTTGCATTCCAAGAGGATAACAGCCTGCTAGCTGCCAGTAAAGACAGACTCTCAAAATAACCTCAAAAAAGTGATTTGCTCCTGAGCCACTATTTAATACACCTATGCTATCTCAAATTATTTTCTTTGGAACTCTTAAAAATAAGTCTTGTTCTACTAAGCTCTGTAAGTCAAACTCAGCTTTTAGAAAGAACAAGATCAGATTTTTGCACTGAACGCAAAAAGGAGAGTAAAGCATACTGGTTTTTAACTCAAGGTAACCGTTTATATCAAGTGAACTTACCTCTCTTACAGCATTGCAGAATTCACTTTGAAGGACCCTTTGCAAAGCCTGTAGCTTTTGTGGTGGCACTTCTCCACTTCTCTGTAATTTTTCCAGCAACTCAATTGCTCTGCAGATGTCTAGAGAAAAATAAAGCACCAGTAATGAGGAATGACTGAGGAAATTCAAGGCGTTTTTTGGGGAGGGTTTCTTTTGTTTTAAATTAAATTAATGAAGCAGTCTGTGTGCACCTGTATACACCTTAAAACTAAGTATTAGTTTCATTTCTCCCATAAAACTATGTATCTAGAAAAACGTTACAATAGAACAATGTATTTTCTCGCTATTTTTAAGTCAACCATAGCAATTCAACCCTGTAACATATCTGGAAGTATCACTGCCATATGTATGTATTAAAGACAATCTGATTTTTCCATGAAGTTTAAATCAGACTGAAATACTTCATTGATACATACACTATCAATATATGCGTAACTTCATAATTTATCTACTGCACAGATAACATTTTGTTAAAAACGGTTAGAATATTGTCAAATGTGCTAACATTCCTTTTATATTCAAAAACATTAGTTCAACAAGAGTACACTCAATGCTTTTACTACAACAGGGCTGAGAACTATCTGGCCTAGTGTGTGGGGGGGTGTTTTTTTTTTCCAAAGTGCTTGGAAAACCAAACAAATTCCTTCTGATATTCTCAGTTCAGAAATAGTATCTCTGTAGTCTAGAATCTTCAACGTCAAACCAGTTCCTAGAAATTTGTTCCCAAGAATTCACATTGTCCATATTCTCATAAATGCAGATGCTGCTTTGTGAAACTGAACTCCCTGTGAAGGATTTGATTCCAAACCAGTACAACTCAAGACAGGCATCAAACATGACATCAAAGGCTACGTGACATGCCCCCGGCAGCTCTACAAGAATAGAATACATTAATATCCGTCACTTGTATTTCCAAAGTGTTACATTAGTGACAATTCCAAATCACGCGAGTTCTTCAACAGAAGTAGAACAGTCTCTCGGAAAAGCAGATAGAAAGGATTAGCTTCATTACCACAAAGGCAAAGAAGCAGTGATTAATCCGCGATATAAATAAGGTACAGGATATTTTAGAAAAAGATGATGTCTGGGACACTGCTATATCCCAAACACATTACTTTTTTCTGTAATTAATCCTTAGGCAATCATTTTTCATGTGAATGTACACCTTACTCAACGGCATCGTGTCAGTACCGAAGACGTGCAATAGCCACGAGCTTCTCCTAAAGGCCAAGTGTAAGAAGAGAGAATTCGTTTAACAGGATAAAACGAGAGCGAGGTGCATGTTCCGAAATGAAGGTGAAGTGCGCTGGCAAGAGACAACCCACGGTGATGTTCAGTCAGGCACATCTTACTGACTACCACACTGAGACCAGGTGGTGTGGTGTAGTGAATTAAATGAGGTACAAGTTAACCTCACAGACTGATCAGCCAGGGACTTGAAACAAATCCTTCACAGAGAAACATCCAAGTATCATCACCACAGTCAAAAACCACAAGTTATTTCAGATGAGAGTTAAGGTTTCTACATGCCATGAGAACTTGGTGTTTTTTGGCAAGTGTTTCCGAACTTTACAAGCATCAGTTATCTAAAGTAAAGAAATATCAAAACCTAAATTTTATCTATTACTAATCCCAAGTCTACAGAGAACTCATTTCACACAGGCAAGCATATTTTGCTATTTGTGCAATCACAAAATGAAAAAAATGCTTCTAAAGCTTTTAATTTCCTAACACACATTTTGTATTTCATTTGACATACAAAACAGTTGGGGAAATTAAAGAGATTCTAGAAGTGATTGTTTACTAACAACCAGAGATCAGGTTAGGAAAGCTAAAGCCCTGATAGAGTTACATCTGGCCAGGGACATCAAGGGCAACAAGAAAAACTTCTACAGACATGTCAGTGATAAAAAGAGATCTAGGGAAAACGTAGGCCCTCTCCGGAAGGAAACAGGGGACCTGGCTACCGGGATATGGAGAAGGCTGAGGTTCTCAATGACTTCTTTGCCTCAGTCTTCACTGGCAAGAGCTCCAGCTGCACAGCCCAAGTCACAGAAGGCAAAGGCAGGGACTGGGAGAATGAAGAACCGCCCACTGTAGGAGAAGATCAGGTTCGAGACCAACTAAAGAACCTAAAGGTGCACAAGTCCATGGGACCTGATGAGGTGCATCCGTGGGTCCTGAGGGAACTGGCAGATGAAGTTGCTAAGCCACTATCCATCTTATTTCAGAAGTTGTGGCAATCTGGTGAAGTTCCCACTGATTGGAAAAGGGGAAACATAGCCCCCATCTTTAAAAAGGGGAAAAAAGAAGACCCAGGGAACTACAGGCCAGTCAGTCTCACCTCTGTGCCCAGCAAGATCATGGAGCAGATCCTCCTGGCGACTATGCTAAGGCACGTAGAAAATAAGGAGGTGATTGGTGACAGCCAATGTGGCTTCACTAGGGGCAAATCCTGCCTGACTAATTTGGTGACCTTCTATGATGAGGTTACAGCATTGATGGATAGGGGAAGAGCAGCTGACATCATCTACCTGGACTTGTCCAAAGCATTTGATACTGTCCCACACGACATCCTTGTCTCTAAAGCAGAGAGACATGGTTTTGATGGATGGACCACTTGGTGGATAAGGAATTGGCTGGATGGTCGCACTCAAAGACTTGTGGTCAATGGCTCAATGTCCAAGTGGAGGACAGTGATGAGTGGTGTTCCTCAGGGGTCAGTACTGGGG